TGCAAATGTGCTACCCCATAATTAGAAAATGCTTAGGCTGGTCCTCCCTTCTGATACTCTGCAGACATGCTAGTTCTGTTTCTGTAGTGTTATAATTCTTGTGCTATGCCTTTTTTTTTTCTTCTGTAAAGTACCCACTGCAGCTTGTGGAGTTTGTTTGTTTTTTTTTTGTGTGTGTGTGTGTTAGCATTTTCTCTTAGTGACAGTTTGATTTTTCTCTTTGTATGTTCGTTCAAACTTGTTATCTTTTTTTAAATCCTTCTCCTCTTTCAATTAAAACACATTTTAATGCTTAGCACAGCTCTTTTAGGGAAGCACTAGTTCCATTTCAGTTTCTACTTCTTAAAGAACCTGGCTGCATGAACATAAGAAGTATTATATACAACAGCAGTATTTATTATTATTGAAAATAATAATAGATAAGTAGGTTTGTAGACAACAAATTATGCAGATCCCAGTCTTTTAAATTCTTCTCTTTTATGGGATTAAACATAGTGAGGCAATACATACCATGGCAAAGAAGTGTTCTTTTTTTTAACTTGTAGTTCTTAGAAGTTGCATCCATTAATGACTTGTGTTGAAAACTGATGTGTTCCATGCAACCAAATCTGATTTTAGCTCTTTGTTTGCAAGCATAATGATAGGAGCTGTTTTGCAATTACTCATTATCTTTTCCTAGAAAAGCTCAGTCACATTTGATGCAAAGTATAAGGATCAAATGCATATATTTGTATTTGTGCAGGATTTGGGTGAGGTGCGATAAAGGCATGAATCCAGAGGCTTAAAAAGAAATTGAACAGTTGCCTCAAGTGATGAGCACCTTCCACCACTTCTGCAGAAGCACAAAGTTGAACAAGAAACCTCATTTCTGGTACTTAAGTGGATCATTGCACCTAAACTTCTAAAGTGGGGCTTTTATATGCTGCATATGTATATGTAACCTTTTTTTTTATTATAAGACCAAATAGGAGGCTACTTTTTTAACTTAATAAAGGATATATTGTACAACGGATTTTCCTTTGTTTCAGATTATATTTGTCAAAAAAGCTAAAGGAAGTCACGGAGAAAAAGAAAAATTCTGTTTTGAAAGACATTGATGAAAAACTAACAAGAACAGCAAAAGAACTGGGTTATTCACTGGAGCAGAAAACCATGAAGATGAAACAGAGAGATAAGGAAGTATGGCTCTTTTTTTCTGATCTGCTAGGTATAAAAACTACTCCTTCTAAACTGGATTTATTTCTTCACTAACTTCCTTTTTCTCCCCTTCTTCTATAAGTATCTTGCAATAGCACTCTCCAGAGCTAATTCTGTTCTGAACATTGCTTAAGGATCAACACTGTCTAAAATCGGGGTGTGCAGTTATTTCAACTGCAGGGCTGCTTAACAAATTTTGGTGCACTGTTGAGGGCTGCAAGGGTAGCCCTACCCCTTGACAGGTGCTGGGTCCCCTGGTTGCCATCTTGGGACCAGAAGTCCCACCCCTAACCCTGACCTTTGCTACCAGAAGTCCCTCCCCTTGTCCTGGAAGTACTCCTTTTGGGAAGGGTGTTTGCTGTCTTGGAAATGGAAAAAAGCAATTTATAAGCTAAAAATCAACCATCTACAATAACATATTTTAATTTTATTGCAAAAAAGTATTTGTGTCCTGATTTGTGTGCGTTTGCATCATGTATATAGAGGTGATTGCATAATAGCTCAAAATGTAGTCTACTCGTATATAGTGTGTGTAGTGGGGAGGGTGTCGATGTGTGCATGTTTGGTGTGTGGGTAGGTATGGGGTGTGGAAGAAGGTGTGGTTGAGTGTGGAATATATGGGGGGTTGTGGGGTATGTGGAGGGGGAGGGTGGCTG